CACACCAGGGGCCTGAGGAATCCCCTCATGCTGACCTCCTTTTCATAAGAATGACTGTAGGCTGGAGGCCAGGGTCACTCTGGGCTCCTGGAGGTGGCCTGGCTACCTGGGGTGGGGCTGAGCTCATCTGGGAATGGAAGCAAGCACGCCACTCAGCCTGTGCCTCCCACCCCACCATTCATCCCCAGTTACACACCGCTCAGCCTGAACCTGAATTTGAATACCAGGTGGTTAGAATTATCTCAGGGCTTCCCCAAAAGGGGTTTTTGTCAGCCAAAAAAAGGAATGTTTAAAGTGAATATTTAATGTTTAATGTTAAACATTGAGAATGTTTATAGTGAGCCTTAAAAAGGAAGAAAATTCTAACATACGCTACAACATGGATGAACCTTGAGGACATTATGCTAAATGAAATAAGCCAGTTACAAAAAGACAAAATACTGTATATGAGGTACCTAGAGTAGTCAAATTCATGGTGACTAGCGGGGGTGGGGGTGGAAAATGGGGACTGGTTGCACAACAGTGTGAATGTGCTTAACGCTACTGAACTTACATAAAAATGGTTAAGATGGTAAATTTTATGTTTTAAAAAAATGTTTAAAGCGAAGCCATTACAAAATTACAGGGGAGTAGGGGTGGGGGGTGGTGGTGGCAGGAGGTGACAGAAGACCAGGTGTAGCTTTTCCGCAGTGGCAAGGACACCAGTCTTAGCTCCCCTCCCAGGGTACCTGGCAGACAGGGAAGTGAGAAGATGAACACTGGAGAGAAAGTCCAGACATAGACACTAGGGGACGCACCCAGCCACAATCCCATTTCCCGTCATTTGTTCCAAAAAGACACAGCATGGAGTTGGGAGGAGACAAGGAGAAAATACTCTAATATTTATTAATTGCTTGCTCTAAACAAGAGGCTTCCACTTGTGATATCATTTAATGCTTATAACCTATGAGGTCAGTTTTATTAGCTCCATTTTATAGCTGAGTAAACCAAGGTCTGGAAGAGACAGGTATTAGTAATGGAGCCTATCACTCAGTGCCACTGGTTCCCTGGGACATCTGCATTCCTGTCTGGGGCTGAGCCTGTGAGGGGAGGAGGGCGACTCTCCTGGAATCAGATAAGGACCTTGAAAGAGAAAGACTCACCCACGTACTCATCCATGTTGAAGGTCTTCACATATTTGAAGGACAGGTCTCCATTCTTATAGTACTCAATCAGCTTCTTGTAGCAGCCAAGTGGGGTGCTCCCTGCAAGAGAGGCCACAAGCCATGAATACCCTTCAGCCCCCCAGCTCCTGGAAGCCCATAGGGCACCCAGGAATGAGTCAGGGCTATTCCAGGAGAACCTGTCAGAGCTGCAGTCCCATGCAAATGCCCCAGTCCTAACTGCCATGCATTCATTGCTTGCTTAGTGCCTATTTCCCCACTAGACGGTAAGCTCCAGGAGGGCAGAGCTGTGTCTGTCTTGTTCGCTGCTGAATCCCCAGTGCCCAGCACATCGATGATTACAATGACTGTGATTAGTACCTGAGTGAACATCAGACTTAAATGACACCCCCTGAGCAACTGCTGCATGCGAGGCACAGGGGCTTGTGATGGGCATGCAGGGGAGCAAGACACATGGCAGCCACCCTGGAAGAGCAGTGATGTCTAGGAGTGGGGACAAGCAGCAGGACCGAACGGCAGCTGTGGTGGGATAAGCACAGGCTAGCCTGAGGGCTCAGGAAGGCTTCCTCGGAGTTCAGTATCATTAAAAAGTCAGTCATAAAACATACAAAAACGATAGGAAGACCGTTATAAGTTATAAAAGATAAATGTGGACAATTAAGAAACAGTTTTTAATACAGCCTCTATATGACATGATATTGTGGAATGATTTTTAATTTTCTTAGGTATGTTAATGGTACTGTGGTTATGAAAGAGAATGTTCTTATCCTGAGGAAATAGGTGCTGAAGGACGAAAACCCTGCCTGGTGCTTCATCTTTATTTAGAGGTAAAGTGTCAGGATGTCTGGAACTTACTTTCAAATGGTTNGTGGATTTCCTTTCATGTAATTCACTTGTACCCCGGAGTTGTGAACAAGATTTACTGTTCCTTTCTTAAAAGATGAGAAAACAGGCATAGAGAAAATGACTTTGTTCAGGACCCCAGAACTCATTTTAGAAAAGAGAACTTCCTGATTTCCAGCCCCAGGTTCCTTTCTCAGATTAAGATACACTCAAAAGACAGGGAAGGTTTACAAGCTGTGAGCCAAGAACAGAGCAACCTCCCTGGGTAGTGGTTCAAGGCTAGATTCCAACAGGAATCTGGCGCCATCACGCACTTCACAAAAGTTCACTTTAGACAGGGAACCCTTTTCACTGATTTAGATGTTTGTTTACAGACTTGGGCAAAGAAGCTTGAAGCTAAAAGTGTCTGTAGCCGCTTCCCACTGAATACACCCCAGGAAGAGAAAATACTTCTAAAATTCTAATTAAAGACCGTAAGGAAATTAGAACCACAAAAAATTCAAATGATACCCAACTTCCTAGGGAAAAACTCACTAAATTCCGTTTAAGATACTTATATTTCATTCGTACTTCTCCACATTTATGAATCCCTGAGCACAGGGCTATAACCACAAACATCCTGGGGTTGCAGGGGGAGCTCCCTTCAGTGACCTCCACCAACTGCAGGGAACCAGAGGGTCCCTGTCAGTACCTGGGCAGGTGCAAATTCATATTCGGACAGTAGTCGTGCTGGGCTCCTCCCTCTCTGCCTGTGATTAGCTCTAAACAGGCACGTTAGCAGAGGCTGGGAGCCTGTGGTCTCCTGGGCAGTCAGTGCTCAAAGGACTCACCTAACACTGGGCACAACGGTTCCCTCCAAAGAGGAAAGAGGAACAGTGATAGGGTTCATTGGGATTGTATCCTTATTTATAAGTCTTCATTTTTAATACAAATGCATTCAGGTGGTACCTGTACAGTTCAAGTTTTTTAACAACAAAAAGACCAGTCCAAACCCCAGTGAAGGCCTGTGGACCCCGTGCACCCTTACCTCTCTAGCATCCATGACAGTGCCCACGCCCACGGTCAGGGCCATGGTGGGCACCTTGGCGAGATCTCCATCGAAGAACCTTGCGTTGGCCAGGATAGTGTCCATGGCCAGTGTCTTCACACGGGTCCGGGACACCAGGCTGGAGCCCGGCTCATTGAAGGCAATGTGTCCGTCGGGGCCGATGCCTGCCCAGGAGAGACAACCAGGGCAGCCCTGTCAGTCCCAGGAACCCCAAATTTCAAGGGTGGATTATCTCCTTCCCCACCTGGGGTCTGCAAAACTCCTTTTCTCCTTCACCCCTGGGCAGGTACACTAACTAGGATCTTCCCTCTCCCCGCCTCCTGCGCGTTGCTATCCGAGGTATGCGCAGCCATTGTTAACTTGCTACCACCCTCAAAAAAAGCTAAGGAAGGGGTACTCCAAACAGCTTCCGCCTCCCCAGATCATCAAAGTGTAACTACTTCTCTCTCCTGCTGCTAGTCAGGGGTCCTGCTGCTGGGACAGAGTCACAGCGAATAACACACAGGCCTGGAAAGGGGTGGCCAAGTTCATACAATCTCAGAACATGAGTGCTCCTGGCCTCTTCCTCCCCACCTTGAAGCAGAGAAGGGCTGAATCTAGAGCAATAAAAGACAGTCCAACTTCATACCCTCGTGGGTGACTCCAAAGCAGGCGACAGATGGAAATAGGAGAGAGCAGCCCAGAGCAGGAAAGAGGGCACAAATCTGAGAAGGGGAACCCCCAAGGTTGCTCCCTTGTCTCCACTGCTATGGTGGGCTAACCTTGGGTAAATCACAGAACTTCCCAGAGGATCACTTGGCTGTCTATTCGTGCAGGGGCTGAGTGTGGAATCTACTGGAACTACATGAGTCTGTGATTTTAACTTGTTTATATAAGTTCCAGGACTGANTTATTTCCTAGCATTCATTTACTCATTTAACAAATATTTACTGAGCACCTCACAATGGGCCTTACTAGTTAGTAGATGCTGAGAATGTAGCAGTGAATAAAACCGACAAATCTTCTGTCCTCGTGGAACTTAAATTTTGGTGGCAGGAGGCAGACACTAAGCAAATTACAGATAGAGCTCTGGAGAGAAGTTGGGAGAGAGGATAGAGAGGCAGAGTTAGGGAGGCAGTGTGATGTTGGAATCTTTAAAGAGTGGAGAAGACTCCATCAGAGAGCACTTGAACAAGGTTTGGCAGTGTGGGAATGAGCCTTGTGGGCACCTGGAGAAGAGTCCAAGCAGAGGGAACTGCAAGGCAAAGGCCCTTGGGAGAGGAGCATGGTAGAGGGCTCCAGGAACAGTATGGTGGCCAGTAAGGGCTGAGGCACGCCAAGGAGGGGGGAACAGTAGGTGGTGGGATGCAAGTGGGTGGCACTGCACTGTCTCGGGCCTTGTGAGTATAAAGCTTTGCTCACCAGCTATTCCCCAAATATGTATCTACCCAGACCACTGCTGGACCATGGGGGGTAGGGGGTGGAAGTCCACAAATGACAAATTTGAAAATATTGGATTTAATAGAAAATTATTACATTGTAAACAAGTCCACTGATCTATTAGTTTAAAACAGAATGACAGCACAAATCACATATAAAAGCTAAAGACAAAACACTGGTACCAGACACAGCACTTAGAGGCCTGAGCCAGCTTCGAAAGATCTTTCCCAGAAACAAGCAGTAGCAGCTAGAAACAGGCACAAAATCAGAGGGAGGAGGCAGCATCCACTCCATGAAGGCTGATGAGAGCAAAAGGAAAGTAGAGCAATAGACTCATCTTGTGAACAAGGGGCGAAGGATAAAGGGGCAAAAGGGTTGTTTTTCCTTATGTCTGGGAACACTAGAGCATGCCACACGAACCTGACAGGGTTAGAAGGGCAGGGTATTTAAAGTGGGGCAAGGCAACTTTAGAAGGATTTGGCCTGTTGTTTTGGCACTCAACTCCTAGGGGGCAGGAGAACATGTCCCTTGTGTGTTGTGACCAAACTCTTAATTGAGCTGCTTGCCCTGGCTGCCATCACCTTGGCTGGGCAACACATTGAAATCTGGCAGTGTCTGTTGCCCCAGTGGACTCCTGCTTCTTAACGAGCATGTAAAAGAAAGGAGCCACAGTGAGGCCTTGGAACAAAAACACAGGGCTCTGGTGGGAAAAGGGTTTCCGCCTTCCTCCTGGTGCTGGAGGGCCCCGAGGGAGACGAGTCTGACGTGGCTGGGCCCCTCGAGGCTCTGAGTTTATCAGTAAGGCCTTCTCCTTGGCCATACCCATCCAAATCCTCCCCCAAGGAGTCCTCAGAGTTCATTGAAAGGCCAGTGGAGAGAGCAGAAAAAACAACTGCGGGAAGAAAGTAAGGGACAGGTTTCTTTCCATGGCACTTGTTACTGACCAGAAGGACTGCCTCCTTATACTGATTTTAGACATTGAGAGTTTTTTCCTTAATCTGGAACAGTTATTCTCAAATAAGGGGCAAGCCTGCTCATGAGGGGCTCTCAAAGCCTCTCCAAAGTGAAGCTCTGTTCTATCCAACAGGCCCCTATTCCCCCCGACCTGAGAATCTGCACGTAACGATAGAAATTCCTGACAGGAGTGTGCTGTTCGTGTGAACAGGGTCAGAGGCAGAACAAAAAGCTAAAATGTCCTACTCTGTGTGGAGCAGACATCAAAATTATGGAGTAATTTTTTTTTTTTTTTCTGATTAAGAGTAAGTTAGAAACAAGTCCTTCCTCCTGAAGCTAAACTCCATGACTAGGCTCCACCCTGTGTGTCCAAGAACAGTAAGTTCACCCACTTATCTGGAGTACTCACACTGGATTAAAGAAATACAATTCTGTCTTCCTAAAGACAATTTCTAGAAAGACCTGCCTGTCCCAAGGAGGTACTTGGCAGTAGGATTAGCACAGGCTAATCACTGTATGGTTTCTTAGAAGACTGGCTTTTCTCTGTTTCTTTCTCTTTGATACTGTACAAGGGGTCCACCAACTTGTTATGAACAAGCATTAAACCTAAAAAAATAAATTAAAAAGTAATTAATGCAGGTAGAGGCAGAGTTCCATGACAATGAACAGTAACACCCAGGAACTCTCAAATTTTGTCCCAAAACTGATCATCATATTTTCTCT